CTGGGTAACAAGAGTGAAACTCCGTCTCAAAAAAAAAAAAAAAAAGGTGACAAAAAGTTTTTAGATAAAGAGAGCCAAAGGATTATTTAAAATACTGATATTCGGCCAGGCGTGGTGGCTCACACCTGTAATCCCAGCACTTTGGGAGGCTGAGGCAGGCGGATCACAAGGTCAAGAGATTGAGACCATCCTGGCCAACATGGTAAAACCCTGTCTCTACTAAAAATACAAAAATTAGCCGGGCATGGTGGCATGTGCCTGTGGTCCCAGCTACTCAGGAGGCTGAGGCAGAAGAATTGCTTAAACCCAGGAGATGGAGGTTGCAGTGAGCCGAGATTGCGCCACTACACTCCAGCCTGGTGACAGAGCAAGGCTCTGCCTCAAAAATAAATTAAAAAAAATAAAATAAAATATTGAAATTCTCCTGAAATTTTTGCAAAAGAAATATGCTAGGAACAGAAGCTGGGGGATACGCATAAACAAAGATAAGGAAGAAAGTTCTAGCTTTTAAGGACATGAATGAATAGTAATGGAGCAAAGCAGGTTAACTTCTGTATTGTACTTCTAACTCCTATATTGTAATTTCTAAGTGCTACAGGGAAAGATCTGAACAAATTATAATGAGACACAACGGCTCTAACTCCATGGCATCACAGGATTAGAAAGGATAAATAATGTGAACCACACAGGTCACACTTCTGTGGCAGTGCTCAGACTATAACTTGTGTGCCCACTGACTCTTAAATTTCTGGGGGATGGGAGTGGTTACCTATTATAGTCAATAGTGTTAGTTAAGAAAGCAGAATAGCATAATGTAAAAATGAGTTTCTACAGTTTTGAAGGATTTTAGGTTGTATATTATAAAATTATCAAATGTACACAAAAGTAGAGTGAATACTATAATGAATCCCATGTCCCCAGCATGTAACCGTCAAGCTATAGATCCATTCTGGGATCCAGATATACAACTGATGATCTATTTCATGGCTGAGGTCATGCACAGAATTTCACAGAAAGTTCATGTGAAGTAGAAAAGGTACAGAACATCTGAAACTCCAAAAAAAAAGTCTCTAACTCCATAATGTGCCAGAATCAGAAGTGGTATCACAGAAGTAAAGGACTATATTCAAAGAGGTAGTGATCTATGGTACCATTTATTACAGACAGGGGTGAGTAAAAAATGAACCAGAAAGATACCCTGAATTATCCAAATGTGTGTGAGTGGCAGCAGTAGCAACAGTAATTTCAGACTGGTATAGAATAAGACTGCAATGAGTTGAAATGTCAAAGGAAAGTGACAGAGATGGTAAAATATTTCTTAGAGGGTAGGAGCAACAGCATGGAAAGGTTTAAAGGATGTTTACTTTCAAGGAAGCAAAGATATTCTTAGACTCTACTTCTACTGTAAAGAGGAAAAAGCCAATGGAGAAGAAAAGGTTAAAGACCTATGATTGTATCTATGTCTTTATAAAAAACGGAGTAACTGACAGGGCATGGTTTCAGAAAGAAATTCAGGAGACAGAAATGAAAACCTATGTATTGGATAGAAAGAGGTTACTTCCACTTAAAAGACCCCCTTTCTCCTCTTTTCAGTAGAGGGGAAAAAAGAATGCTTGAGGCACAAACCATGTTTTAATCATCTTTAGAGCCCTAGGACTTAGTTTCTGTTCTTCAATAAATGTTTAAAAGTAAGCTTAACGGTGTACTTTCATCGACACAATACTTAATGATAGAAAAGAAGTTAAAATATTCACTTTTAAAATTTAAATTTCACTTACATAAAAAAATAGGAAAATTATTCAGTCTTAAAGTAGTAATGGCTAAAATGCCCCTATATCCATTGCAATTATTTTTGAAATCTTTGCTGTTAACTCAGAAGCTAATATTCTGGACAATATCAGTGAATGTGATTATTCAACTGTTATTCCAAAGACTATCATTCTTTAAGTTTCTTTACCTGCTTTTGAGAGAATGCCATTTCCTTTTGCTATGCCAACATAGACTAGAATATTTACAACATCAGAAACTTCAATATGGAGATTTGTTGTTCCTATATCATGATCTTTAGCAGCAACTACACCTGTGTATAAAACAAAATTTTACTTGACAAAATACTTTATATATAATAGTAATTAATCAGATATTCCCCCAAATGAACTCTATCTGTATAATTTGTTAATTTAAGTTTTGGTTTCCTTATTACGAAACCTGTTCCAAAAGCCACAATTTATAAAATAGCCTATTATTTCAACATAATTATGTTTGTATTATAATAAAATGTCCTATGGTTAAAAATCAAATTAATAAAAAAATTAGCAGGTACTTAACTATATATTGACTGTTAATTCCTAACATGTTGCTTAATATAAAAAAGGGTTTCGATGGATTATTAAAAGAACAGATTTAGTAGAAACTAAAAATCATTAGACAATTTATAAAAACAGAAATTTTTTTTTTTTTTGCTCTGTCACCAGGCTGGAGTGCAGTGGCATGATCTCGGCTCACTGCAACCTCCAACTCCTGGGTTCAAGTAATTCTCCTCCTCACCCTCCCAAGAGCTGGGACTACAGGCAAGTACTACCACATCTGGCTAATTTTTGGTTTTTACTTTTTTTTTTTTTTTTTGCAGCCCCAGCTGTTGCAATTTTTGTATTTTTAGTAGAGACGGGATTTCACCATGTTGGCCAGGGTGGTTTCAATGTCTTGATCTTGTGATCTGCCCCACCTCAGCCTCCCTAAGTGCTGGGATTACAGGCATGAGTCACCACGCCCGGCCTTGAACAGAAATGCTTAAAAATCCAATATAATTCCTACTTGGGAGAAATGTGAATATATATACCTACCATAGGCACTGCACAACCTGGGTCCTAGATCAGGACGTACAAAAAATCCTGGCAAATGAGAGGCCAAATTGAATTTTCCTTCTGGATTACAATATTCTGGCAATGGTAGACTTTTTAAAAGATCTTCGTATCTGAAGAATAACAACATTGCCTTCTTATAAATAAAAGACTTGCATTGGTAAGTATTTTCACATACATAATTTTCAAGTTGTTCAAAACACCAGACTGCCTTTCCGTAAGACAGGTAACAATTTTCCTTGACTCAAGTGATACTATAATAGCAATTCTGCTTCTCTAATCATTAAAATTAAAAGCTCCAACAGAAGGGAAGTCCTAAACAGGGTCCTGTGTTCTTTAACATGAACATTCTTTCCTTCACTGTCCTAACACAAAGACATCTCCCATGCTGAGGCTACCGACTGAGTTTTGTTATCAATCTACCAGTCAGTCAGAGAGGGTCTCGCTCTGTCCCCCAGGATGGAGTGCAGTGGCACGATCTCAGCTCCCAGTAGCCTCTACCACCTCGGCTCCAGCAATCTTTTCACCTCAGCCTTGTGAGTAGCCGGGACTACAGGTGCCTGCCACCAAGCTCGGCTAATTTTTTGCATTTTTTGTAGAGATGAGGTTTTGTCATGTTGGCTAGACTGGTCTCCAACTCTTGGACTCAAGGAATCTGCTCACCTTGGCCTCCCAAAGTGCTGGGATTACAGGCGTGAGCCACTATGACTGCTCAGCCTCGAGTTATTTATTTTTAACTGAGGAAGAAAAGGCCTACAGGTCACATTTACAGTTACTTATCCTATCTCTGGGATAGTCTCAGCTCAATCTCACAAAGTCAAGAGTCAAAATGAAAAGTTTCAAACCTTGTTGGCATCATAGTCTTGAAGTCTTCTCCTGAAGGCCAATCTTTCAATTTTAAAACAACTGTTTCTCCACTTTTGTTTTTCTGCCGTTCTATAAGGAATGCAGTTAATTACTAAAAGGGTAATTTCTGTCTTTTTACTAACATTTGGAGAGAAAGAAATGTAAATGAATGAATGATTTGATAGTTGCACATTACATGCTTAATGAAAGCTTGCTTATTGACTTATTACTTATGTAGTATTAAAACCTTTGTTCCTTTTATAAATCAACAGAATTCATTCAATTACCCACTTGTAATATCTCAAAAATTGTTTTTAAAAATCTTGGTAACATCACAATCGTACATTTACACTTTTAATTTTCAAAGTATTTTACATAAATAATTCAATTTTCACAAGCTTATGGAACTGCCAAACATTTCTCCATAAATAAAACAGTATAAACGGCATCTTTAAGGTCAAAGGAAATTAGTGTTGGAGACAGGGATTAGGACCCAGTATTTTGTTTCCAATTACTTGTTTCTTTTTTTTTTAGACAACAACGTAAAACAGATCTTTCAAAGACTAAAAACCTGTTAAGTTACATTTGGAATATATCATTTTGAAGGAGTACAACAGAGAAAATAGTAAAATAAAAACCAACGTACTTGAAACTTCTTCAAAACCATCCCAGAATTCCTTAACATTGGCATTTGAAATGATGCTATCTTTGCAGTTCAGGAGATCAGCTTGGTGGTCTCCAAAATCAAGACTAATTGATTCCGCCTTCCATAGGCTAATGTTCATTTTCTTATGCACACCAGAAACCACTGCAGGCTTATAAATAAATAGATAAATAAATAACAGTTAAAAGATATACAGACTTTTTTTTTTTGAGACAGTCTCCTTCTCTTACCCAGGCTGGAGGGCAGTAGCCTGATCATACCTTAGTGTAGCCCTTTGGGCTCAAGTAATCCTTTCGCCTCAGCCTCTTCAGTAGCTTCAACTATTAAATTTCAAGCCTAATGAGTGATTCTCTGAAAGTTAATGTCTCCTTTGAAATTACATAAATTCAAATTCCCTCAAAGCTTTCTTACACTTGCTGGTGGGGTAGGGGAGGAAGGGGATGGAGATGTCCTCTCCACCCAAATTCCCTAAAAGCTTTTTAATAACCCGGGAACCAGTAATGGAAGATTTATAACTTCTAGAACTACAGTAAATGATATAAAAATATATCTAAGATTGGCCGGGCGCGGTGGCTCAAGCCTGTAATCCCAGCACTTTGGGAGGCCGAGGCAGGTGGATCACGAGGTCAAGAGATCAAGACCATCCTGGTCAACATGGTGAAACTCCGTCTCTACTAAAAAACTACAAAAAATTAGCTGGGCATGGTGGCACGTGCCTGTAATCCCAGCTACTCAGGAGGCTGAGGCAGGAGAATTGCCTGAATCCAGGAGGCGGAGGTTGCGGTGAGCCGAGATCGCNGGGTGGATCACGAGGTCAAGAGATCGAGACCATCCTGGTCAACATGGTGAAACTCCGTCTCTACTAAAAAACTACAAAAAATTAGCTGGGCATGGTGGCACGTGCCTGTAATCCCAGCTACTCAGGAGGCTGAGGCAGGAGAATTGCCTGAATCCAGGAGGCGGAGGTTGCGGTGAGCCGAGATCGCGCCATTGCACTCCAGCCTGGGTAACAAGAGCAAAACTCCGTCTCAAAAAAAAAATTAAATAAATAAATAAATAAATAAATAAAAATAGGTCCAGGTATTAGTTAACTCCTGCTGGCAATTCACATATTAATTCCTAGTGCCTAGTACCTATCCAATAATATTCCTGCTATTCAGTCTTATGCTACCATTTCTTAAGGTAATCAGCAACTTGTTAAAAGCAATTTTTTTTTTCAGACAGAGTCTCGTTCTGTCACCAGGAGCCAGGCTGGAGTGCAGTGGCACAATCTTGGCTTACTGCAACATCTGCCTCCTGGGTTCAAGCAATTCTCCTGCCTCAGCCTCCCGAGTAGCTGGGAATACAGGCACGTGCAACCACACCCAGCTAATTTTTATATTTTAGGAGAGACAGGGTTTCACCATGTTGGTTAGGATGGTCTCGATCTCTTGACCTCATGATCCACCCACCTTGGCCTCCCAAAGTGCTGGGATTACAGGCGAGGGCCACAGCGCCCAGCCCAAAAGTTAAGTAATTTTCTTTTTAAAAAGATAAGGGTTAAGCTAATTAGTATATTAAAATAATTCAAAGCAGAATTCTCAGGCTATCACAATGACCTTTTTTTTGGAGACAGGTTTTTACTTTGTTGCCTAGGTTGAAGCATAGTGGCACGATCACAGCTCACCACAGCCTGGACCTCCTGGGCTAAGGCAATCTTCCTGCCTCAGCCTCCCAAGTGGCTGGGACTACAGGCGTGAACCACCACGTCTGGCTAATTTTTGGTAGAAACAGAGGTCTCACTATGTTGCCCAGACTGCAATCAATCTTCCTGCCTTGGCCCCCAAAATGTTGGGATTATAGACGTGAGCCACAGCACCAGGCCTGTAAGGATTAGACTCCTTGGCACTGGTTTTATTCTCTTCTAACTCAACTTCTAATCCACCTTGCTGTCAGTTATTATAAAATGTCAATTTAATTATACAGATTCCACAATTAAAACTATCACCTACAGTATAAGATTAAAACTCTTTAGTACGATATATAAGTGCATCTCATAATCACTCCTCTACGTCTCCTTACCACTCTCTCCCATGAGCCCTCATCTATGTTGCTGATAATCACACCTACTCAGAGAGTTCCCTAACACTTGATGTTTTTGTATATGTCAAGCCTCTTGTCCATCTAGCAATAACTTCACTTAACTTGTAAAGAATCAATTTAGACTAGCCTTTTTGAACTAGTAATTTCCTAGCTTTGAGATTTCCTTTTCTGGGTTCTCATAGGGCCTTGAACAAAGTTCTTAAAACGACATACTTATGAAAACAATTATTTGTTTGATTCTTTTGTACCTCAAAAGCCCACACAAATAAAATTTCAGCCCAGTAATGTCATCAGGGCTTCAAGAAGACACAGGTAAAAAAGACATGCTACAACTTGTGTATGTGCAATGCACAGTATGTACTTCTTTTCTGGGGACACAGATTCAGCTTTCATCAGATTTTGAAAGGGGTTAGTTATCTAAAAAGATCAAGAAGCACTGCACTAAAACGGTTCTTACTCATTTGTACATAGCTTACTCACTTTTATATTCTTAATGCCTATAACACAGACTGGATCTTATTAGATGCTCAATAACAGTTGAATGAACAAAGTAAACATTTTCCAGAAAACAAGAAATTTAACAAAATGATATACTGTCATACAAATACTTAAATTTGTTGATAATTTTTGCATTAATGTAAATTGCCATCTGAAATGTGTATCAAACATTATCAAAACTTTTGTTCAACAGAAAATCATTTATATTAGAGGAGAATGAAATAATGTAGTTTGTCATTAAAGATTTGATGAACTAATTTGTAAGTAAATGGTCTATATATAAATATTAAAGACAAAAATACCTATATAGGTTCATGAAAAAATGCTAATATTGATTAACATTTTAATAGTAGAAATGGATCTACTAACTGGACTAAAATACCAATCTAAAAAAGAGGAAAAAGGAACTACATTTTGTAAAAAAAATAAAATAAAACAATCAATGCTCTCCTGTTAATTCATATTAAATCTGGCCAAAAACAGGAATTGAGAAACAATCATTCTAACAATCTTTTTGGTAGTTTTGATATCTTATTGCCCCCCAAATGTGTTAAGTACTATTTCTTCTCCCCTCTATTTCTATCCCTAAGGAGGGAGCCATTCTATTTAATAAGCTTCAGTTCCAGCAAGAGTGTTCTTAATCAGCCTAAAATACACACCTGTCCTTGTTTCCAACATTCTTTGAAAAGTTTCCAGTTATTGCTATTCTTGTAGTCCTTAAGCCATAAAATATGCTTCTCACAGATCCAAGAATGTGGTATATCACTGTACAATTTATTATTTTCATCCACTGCAGATATTCTGCTTTCTTCAGGCTCTTCTTTAAGCTCTGGTTTTACATTTATCTTGGAGGTCTTACTTGGTGGAATTTTGTTTTCAACAACTGAAGCAATTATGTCATCAAGAATGTTAGGCATAGTCCGTCCACTTTTGCTACTCTATTAAGGAAAAGCAAACAAAAATCTGTTTTGACAGAAAACATATACATTTTCCTCCAACAGACTTGTTTTTTAAACAATACCCCTACACTCCAGAGTATGCAGTTATCTTAGTAGATATTACTTCCTATATTCCCGACAAAATGCAAACCAGAAGTTTGATTGTGTGAAAACTGCCAGGTCAGCAAAACTTCCTGCCTTTTACATTATTATAGGCCTGGGACAGAGAATACAGGTAGATGGCACTCCCCCATATATATATAATATATGTATGTGTGTGTGTGTGTGTGTACATATATATATATACATATATATATAAAAGCATATGGGGTGGGGGGGGCAATCATGCCTGTAATCCTAGGGAGACAAGAGTCATACTCTGTCGCCCTTGCTAGAGTAGAGTGGCGCGATCTCGGATCACTACAACCTCTGCCTCCCAGGTTCACGTGATTCTCCTGCCTCAGCCTCGGGAGTAGTTGGGATTACAAGTACACGCCACCACACCTGGCTAACTTTTGTATTTTTAGTAGAAACAGTGTTTCACCATGTTGGCCAGGCTGGTCCCGAACCCCTGACTTCAGGTAACCTGTCTACCTCAGCCTTCCAAAGTGCTAGGATTACTGGCATAAGCCACTGCGCCCAGTTCCCATATACTTTTGAAAGCAATTATACTGCTCTTCCTTTTTCCTGGTAAATAATTAAAGCAAAATTTAACTTCTAATTATTTTAAGTAACATATAACATTCACTTCATGTGGGTTTTCCCCTTCACTACACAAATAATTTCAAAATTCTAAAGGGGTATCTTAGGGTTCTTCTGGTATCAAAGAGCCCCCTCCTCCACCTTAATGCCAGCTTTCAAGGTAAAGAGAGTTATAATGCAAACAGAAACATGCCTAGCAATTTGGTACACTTGATTTCATCTGCATATTGGTAGTTCACAGCCAAAAACCAAGTCTCCAAATCATATCTATTTAAAATTTTTCCCCACATTAAAAGCAAAAATTTGGCATCACACTCACTGGGGCTCCCATTGAGTATACTGGGGCAAAGGCAATGCCAGCATCTGTAGAGCCCACACGTAGCTTTCCAGCTGTTGTAGTCAGCAGATCCCGTAAGGTTGAGCCTTGTTCATTATTCTGGGACACAAGAGGTGATGTTCTGCCATTTGGAGATTCAGAGTTGTCTTGTTCTCTGTCTTCTTTAATTTGTTTTTCAAGGGTAAGTTCTTTGTTTTCTGAAATAAAAAATTTCACAGATTTTTGTTTTGTTTTGTTTGAGATGGAGTCTTGCTCTGTCACCCAGGCTGAAGTGCAGTGGCATGACCTCGGCTCACTAAAACCTCTGCCTCCCAGGTTCAAATGATTCACCTGTTTCAGCTTCCCAAGTAGCTGGGACTACCGGCATGCATCCCCACACCCGGCTAATTTTTCTGTATTTTTAGTAGAGATGGGGTTTCACCATGTTGGTCAGGCTGGTCTTGAATACCTGACCTCAAATGATCTGCCCACCTTGGCCTCCCAAAGTGCTGGGATTACAGGCGTGAACCACCGTGCCCCATTGTTACAAATTTGAATTCTCTATTAAGCATGGTGCTAAAGTAGAGACACAACTGGCCCCCTGCATTGCATAGCGGAAGATAAAAACTGAAGGCAGCATTGTGATTTATTCAGTTAAACACAAACTTGAGGATGAGTTAGACCCTTCAAAATGTATTCAAACAATTTAAATATAAAAAGACCTTCCTTGATATTTAAGATAAGTTTACATATGTTGCAAATGAAAAACACTGTGGCAAAGACAGGTAGAAAATACAGGTAAGTTGGCTGGGCAGGTGGCTCACACTTGTAATCCCAGCACTTTGGGAGGCCAAGATGGGCAGATTACTTGAGGTCAGGAGTTCGAGACCAGCCTGGCCAACATGCTGAAACCCCATCTCTACTAAAAATTAAAACATTAGCTGGGTATTGTGGCACATGCCTGTAATCCCAGCTACTCGGGAGGCTGAGGCATGAGAATTGCTGGAACCCAGGAGGTGGGGGCAGAGGCTGCAGTGAGCTGAGATTGTGCCATTTCACTCCAGCCTGGGCATAGAGACTCTGTCTTTAAAAAAAAAAAAAAAATACAGGTAAGTTACACATCTAGTGCTCTGGTGGCTTTATCAATATGCTCATCCACAAACAATTCTGTAACTAACTTCCATATGTAGTCAAAGGAAGGCTAACGCTGGAAGGCTGGGTGTGGTGGCTCACATCTGTAATCCCAGCACTCTGGGAAGACGAGGTAGGTAGATTGCTTGAGCCCAGCAGTTCAAGATTAGTCTGGGCAATATGGCAAAACTTCATGTACACACACACACACACACACACACACTCAGTTTTGGCCAGGCATGGTGGCTCACGCCTGTAATCCCAGCACTTTGGGAGGCCGCGGCAGATGGATTACCTGAGGTCCGGAGTTTGAGACCAGCCTGGGCAACATGGTTGAAGCACTGTCTCTTCTAAAAACAAAAAATTAGTTGGGCATGGTGGTGCATGCCTTTAGTCTCAGCTACTCGGGAGGCTGGGGTAGGAGAATCACTTAAACCTGGGAGGCGGAAGTTGTAGTGAGCTGAGATTGTGCCATGGCACTCCAGACTGGGCAACAAGAGCGAAACTCCTTTCCCCAACCCCCCAAAAAGAAAAAATTAGGCATGGTGGTACATGCCTGTAGTCCCTGCTATTTGGGAGGCCAAACTGGGAGGATCACCTGAGCCTGAGAGGTCAAGGCTGCAGTGAGCCATGATTGTGCCACTGCACTCCAACCTAGGTGATAGTCTCAAAACAAAGAAAACAACAACAACAAAAAGGCTAGTTCCTAAAAAGACAAAATGTTTACAGTGAACCTAAGCTATAATTCAAGCAGAAGACCAAAGTAAATTATTTACCTTAACAGTACCTGTACAATAATACATTGTTGGTTAGAAATACTGTACTCCTTGGAAACCTGGATATCAATTAAAAAAAAAAAAAAAAAAGAAATACTATACTCCTCTCACACATACCTAGATAATCAATGATGTTTACCTTTTTTTTCCTCTCTGGATTTTTGCTCTGCAAGATCTGCTAACCAGTGCAGTGGTGACTGGGATTCTGGAGGAGTTAACTTGTTATCTGTGCCTACATCACTCTCTGGGCTGCTGCTGCCATTTTTCTCAGACTTCTGAGGAGTATTTTGCTGCTGAGACTCAGGCATGCACAGAGAAATTTTATTACCATGATTAAGAACATTCTGTAAAACCTACAGAGGTAGAACAATTACATTTTTAAACACTTTCTTCAATTATTCAATTAGTAGCATAGATATAAGAAATTTACACACAAACACAGAAAACATAAGTCATACACAAGTCCTATATCAAATTTCAAATACGTATCTTTAGCCATAGGTTTTATTTGAATAATCAGATTCTTTACTCACTTGAGATACACCATTCATTGCAGGAAAATTTCCAACTTGTGAATTCTGTTTGTTAGTACAATGACAATGAGATTTAATACCATATTTTTCCCTAAGAGTGTGCATGGCATCTAGAAGATCTGTCAAAACTACAAAATAAAATGGTGGTTAATAAAAAGATTACCACTAGTTATTAATGCTGTAAAATTTTTTTCTTACAATATTTTATATTATAATATGGAACAATGGAAGTTTTCTTGTGCCCTTTAAATTTCTTCCATTTTTCTCCATTCTCTTCCATCTATTACAGGTTTGATTATTCAACCAAATTTATGTTCTCTATTCTTTTCTCTCCTACCTCTATTAAAAATTAGATATGCTCAAAATCTGTAAAAAGCTTTCATTGGAAATCTAATAGGCCTTTTCATTACACTCTAGCTTTCCCCTTTTAATGGTGAACTTTCTTCATAAGTGAGGCTTGGACTTATCTTCTGAGCTTTATTACACAGAGGATTTCCAATAACTGAGCAAGATAATTAATCAATACTAGTTAAACCTCCTCTCTCTCCATCCAGTTATACTTCTCGATACTCCCTTAAGTGTTCCTTTAGTCTGGAGCAACCAAGAGCAGTTATATTACATGAAGAAGGTATATTTATACTTACTAGAACCAGGTATAATTTGGGTTGGCATTAAATGTTTGTGATCATGAGGCTGTCCCTTCACACACTTCATCCAAGCATATAGTTCTTTATCTGTAAGATAATACGCCTTGTTGTATATCACACTCATGGTTTCATAGGTATAAATTGATGGTGTAAAGAACTTAACGATTATATAAAATGTCTCACTGGCTAGAGTTACAGCCAATGAGGAAAAAAAAATTAAAAAAAGAAAATGTCAATGATATGCTTTAGAAGTTTGGTTCTGAAACAAGTCAGGAAAAACAGTTCCACCATTCCCTGAATTTTTTTTTTTAAAATATATATTTTTTTAACTTTTTTTTTTTTTAAGAGACAGGGTTTCACCACGTTGGTCAGGCTGGTCTTGAACTCCTGACCTCAGGTGATCCGCCCGCCTCGGCCTCCCAAAGTGCTGGGATTACAGGCGTGAGCCACCGCGCCCGGCCCATTCCCTGAATTTTGTAAAAACAGTGATGCAAAATGGATATAATAGCCTTTTCTAAAATTACCGGTTATTATTGTTATTAGTCACCTCTATCTTCTCTATAGCTAATCTCCTTTTATCTCATAGCTGTTTTCTGTGCCAAACAGAATTTTTGCCTGATGCTAGTACATCAGACTGACACAGTTTGAGATGACTGTTAATTCATTTTCCTCTTATGCTTCAAAGACATATAGAGGAACATGAGACATGTGAAAAAGCTGGTACCATATAGTTATTAATTGCTATTGCTGACTTCAAGTAAGGTTTCATCCCTAAAGTTGTAAACAATTAAGGCACAGCATAGGGCATAATATAAAGATTAAATGTGTTTGATACCTTGATCTCAAGAACTTTCTCTATAAATTTAATGACATAGACAGCTACTTTATGAGGTAGCTATAATAGCTTCAGTGTCACAACACTCAATAAATTCAGCATTAAAAAATCTAGAACTAGGCTGGGCACGGTGGCTCACACCTGTAATCCCAGCATTTTGTGAGGCCAAGGAAGGCAGATCACTTGAGGTCAGGAGTTCAAGACCAGCCTGGCCAACATGGTGAAACTCCATCTCAACTAATAATGTAAAAATTAGCCAGGCGTGGTAGCACATGCCCGTAATCCCAGTTACTTGGGAGGCCAAAGCAGGAGAATCGCTTAAATGGGGTGGGGCTGGGGGCCGAGGCTGCAGTGAGCCGAGATTGCACCATTGCACTCCAGCCTGGGCGACAGAGCAAGACTCCATCTTTAAAAAAAAAAAAAAAAAAAAAAAATCAAATCTAGAACTATTATTTCATAAAAATATACATTAAATAAAATTCATACCCAGTCTAATACTAGTTACCTTTAAAAACTTTGACTTTCCTCTGCAAAACCTACGTAACTTGCAAACATTTTATCTATTGCTTATATTTTAGAAATTTATGTTGATCACCACTCTATGAAGCTATACATTAAACCTACTCGGCTGGGTACAGTGGCTAACGCCTATAATCCCAGCACTTTAGGAGGCTGAGGCAGGCGGATCACGAGGTCAAGAGATCGAGAGTATCCTGGGCAACATGGTGAAACCCTGTCTCTACTAAAAATAGAAAAATCAGCTGGACATGGTGGTGGGTGCCTGTAAGCCCAGCTACTCGGGAGGCTGAGGCAGGAGAATCGCCTGAACCCAGGAGGCAGAGGTTGCAGTGAGCTGAGATTGTGCTACTGCACTCCAGCCTGGTGACAGAGCAAGACTCAGGCTCAAAAAATAAAAATTCTACTAAATCCGAGTTTTACTACAATATTTAACAATAAAATAGACACATAGATAGCACAGATAATAACCCAAGGTATAAGTTACACTTGAAAGAATGATATGGTAACTAACAGACTGTACTTTCAAAATTAATACTACTATGCAAATAGCAGGCTGGGCATGGTGGCTCATGCTTGTAATCCCAGCACTTTGGGAAGCCAAGGTGGGAGGATCAACTGAGGTCAGGAGCTCGAGACAGCATGGCCAACATGTTAAAACCCCGTTTCTACTCAAAATGCAAAATTAACTGGCCTGGTGGCCCGTGTCTGTAATCCCAGCTACTGAGGAGGCTGAGGCAGGAGAATTACTTGAACCCAGGAGGCCAAGATCACGCCCCTGCATTCCAACCTGGGCAACAAGAGTGAAACTCCGTTTCAACGATATAAAAAGAAAAAAAGAAAATCAGCAGCAATATGACAATTTAGTTTTAATATAAATACTCTTTATCTTACAAAAAGAATTTATAGTAGCTCATGTATATATACATATATACAACACAGCAAAATAGAGTAAATTAAACTTAACTTTTTTAATTTGGCAAAGGAAAATCAAAAGTAATATGAAACCAGGAAAAAGGAATTTGAAATGCATGTCATGTCGTTAAGTTTCATAACAACTGACAATGTCAAAATACATTTATTACTGTTTCATATTTTACTCATATTAACATATTTATTGCATATCCCAGAAACACTTAGCTATAGATGTTCAGCTACACTTCCACATTTGCTCAGGTTTCTTTGGTAATAAAGGGTAAGAGACTTTGGTAATCCTATCAGTAGAACATAATGATTGTTCATCATGTTTCATCTACTTGGTATGCTACTCTGAAAAAAGAGCTGCCTGAAATGAAAATGACATTCACTACTTTGAGACAATCTATGCTAAGTACTTCTAATGCTTCCACAATTCTAATCCTTTTATTTCATCAGAAGTCTACTCCTAACAAAAACTCAATACCAGTTTTAGGTAGTCACTTCCAAAATTGCCTTGGATAATCTTTCTAAAACACTTCTGACTCATGTAATTACTTCCTTTTTGAGACAGGTTCTCACTGTGTTGCCCAGGGTGGAGTGCAATGATGTAATCACATTTCACTGCAGCTTCCATCTCCTGGGCTCAGGTGATTCTCCCACCTCAGCCTCCAAGGAAGCTGGGACTATAGGCACATATTAGCATGCCTAGCTTTTTTTTTTTTTTTTTTTTTTTTGGGTAGAGAGAGGTTTTTGCCACGTTGCCCAAGCTGGTCTTGAACACCTGGGCTCAAGCAATTTTTGGAGGCTTGCCCTGGCATCTCAAAGTACTGGGATTACAGGCGTGGGCCACCATACCTGGCCCACTTTCTTTTTAAAACTTTATATTACTTCTAGCTGTTTTAACAAAGAGAACACTGTTTTTGTGACATTTATTTACCTAGAAATTAGAAGTAATTGAAAAGCTGTTTCCAAATTATAAAGATTTCTTTTCTAAAAACTGGAGTCAGCCTGGGCGACATGATGAAACCCTCTCTCTAAGAAAAATACAAAAAAATTAGCCAGGTATGCTGGTATGTGCCTGTAGTCCCAGCTATTCAGGAGACTGAGGTGGGAGGATCACTTGAGCCCAGGAGTTCAAAGCTGCAGTGAGCTGAGACTGTACCACAGTATTCCCGCCTGGATGACAAGATGAGACTCCGTCTCCAAACAAAACAGAAAAACGGGGATAAATGGGGAGGGTGGCAGCATATTCTTCAACATTTTTATTTGTACGCTACAGATTAATATTTAGAAAACTCAATTTACATTTACACTAATAAGTATTCAATTGTGACTTATACGGTATGACGCTGTAATTCACAAGTCCTAGAAGGACTTCAGGCTTCTACATGCTGCAGTCTTTTAAACAAATTTTAAAGAGAGAGGGTCTTGCTCTGCCCCCTACACTGGCGTGCCGTGCTACAATCAAAGCTCAGTGTAACCTTGAACCCCTGGGCTCAAGTGATCCTCCAGCCTACGCCTCCCAAAGCACTGGGATTATAAGCATGAGCCACAGTGCCCGGCCCACACAATGAAATCAAAGCAACAAGGTCTAACCTAAATTTGGGCTACATTAAGGAACTGACTGAAATGAGACGATGGATACCCTCAAGAGGCTGATGGGTGTAGACGCAATTTAATTCTAGAAAATATAACCATTAATAAAATGTGATTACTTCTCCTCTTAAAAACAAACAAACAAAAATTCCTTAATACATTAATAATTAAGGAAGGTAGGAATAAAAAAATCATCTCATGTTCTAGATTAGTGATCCTAAAAAAAATTATTAAAAAACTTCTATTTATATAAACTTATACACCAACCTCTAGAACTCTTCCTTTCCTTTGCCTTGTAACAATCTAAGCAGACCACAAATCCACATTTTTGGCAGACCCAGTGAATGTTAAACAATGTTGCTTCACATGCATCACACATCTCCCGGACTCCTCTCACTGCTCTTTTCCAGGCAATTTTGGCTGAAATACAGAAAAAACAAAAAATTTAAAGGCAAACATGCTCTTTTCCAAGACAATTTTGGCTGAAATACAGAAGAAATAAAAATGTAAAGGCAAACGAAGAACCTTCTACACTATATTAACTAAAGACCAATAGATTTCTTGAAGTAATTAGTAATTCTCTTCAGAAGACTCACAAATGATCATAAGTGAATAATAAAAATGGCTTACATCTAAGGCAGGGTTTCTCAACTCTGGCACTTTTGACATTTTCGGTTGAATAATTCTTTGTTTTGAGGGATTATTCTGTGCACTGCAGGGTGTTCAGTGGCATCTGTACCCTCTACCTACTAGATGCTTGGCAGCATATCCTTAACTCCCTCAGTTATGCAACCAAAAATGTCTCCAGTCATTGCTAAGTGTTCCCTGAGGGGCAAACCAGTAATTTTAAAAAAGGGAAAGAAAAGAAGCTAATATTTAGAGCACGTACTATGTTAGGCCCTATTTAAGAACCTTATATAAGTTAACGTAATTAACATAACTACTTTCTAAATAAATTAATGAAATAGTTATCCTTTCAATTTTATAGACCTGCCTGATATCCACAGAGGTTATTTGCCAAAGGTAACAGTTAAACAGGAAGTAAAGCTGAGATTCCAATACAAATAATTGGGGTAGATTATATCTTTATAGGCCAAACGTTGAAATTTCACAACATGCATCCAAAGCAGGTTTAACACATTAATTTATGTTGCAATGGCAGAAATAGAAAAATACTATCGTGATTTCATAAATGGTTAACTGACTCAATTCACCTTCTACAGGAAAATACATGTAACCTTAAATACATATTGGCGGCCAGGCGCGGTGGCTCAAGTCTGTAATCCCAGCACTTTGGGAGGCCGAGGCGGGTGGATCATGAGGTCAAGAGATCGAAACCATCCTGGCCAACATGGTGAAACCCCATCTCTACTAAAAATACAAAAAAAATTAGCTGGGCGTGGTGGCGTGTGCCTGTAGTCCCAGCTACCCAGGAGGCTGAGGCAGGAGAATTGCTTGAACCTGAGAGGCGAAGGTTGCAGTGAGCCGAGATCGCCACTGCACTCCAGCCTGGTGCCTGGTGACACAGTGAGACTCTGTCTCAAAAAAACAAAACAAAACAAAACAAAAAACATACTGGTACATTCCTTTGTAAAAAGGTATCATTATCATAATTAAAAATCAGCACGATAAGATTAGGGATTTCTTTCATAGATCAAACATAATTCAAAGAGAAATTCTTGAAATAAAATTTGTACAGTTCATATTATATTTAACTTTCTTACCATCCTTTTTCACCCATGACAAAGCTGTTTTTTCAGATGTTACTAATTGACAGAACTTATCACCTATTATATCCAAGATATATTTAGAAGTTTCTATATCTAGTTCATCATCTTCATAATTTTCATGTGTCCACAAACTCATAGCTTCATCATCATATTGGTCAGGAGAAGAGAAACCATCTATTCTAACTACTCCGTTTTTACTAAATGACAACCTGAAATATTAAAACATAAAAGCATTAGGTACCAACATATTAAGAAAACATAAGTCCAGTTTTTAAAGTTGTAAATTTATCATTGTTTATACTGCATTATAAAATATGAATTACACTGAAAACAGGAATACAGGTTAATTCTTCACACATTAATTATTGAATTAATTTAAAAAACTAATAGGCATTATGCAAATGGCAATAAGTAGTGCCAGTCTTTGGTTATTTCAAGAAATAAAATCACATATGCTTAATTACTTAACTTGAACAAAATAAAACTGTTTAAGTGTTTGACGAGTAACAAGAGTGAAAATGTGGGCCCAATGTTGCCCAGAGCAATGCTATTATTTTATACATAACCTAAATCAGGAATCATTAAAGCTGAAATGGCCTAAATCACCTTAAGACTTTGACCAGGAGGACTTTAAAAATGCCAAATACATTTTTATTCATTGACACGTTATTAAAGTGATTTAGGAGACCAAGAATGAAATTCTTAATAGTTTTATAGGAACTGCATTAATGTGCTTACTTGCTCTGAGCTTCTCATGTCCAAATAACTACTCTATTCAGAGAAGTTTACGGTAAATGGAAAGCAAAACTACGATTTTCTTACTGGCTGGTGGTTATTTCTCAATTATCTTGTACTTAATTCTCTTTACTCTCAAATAGGTGATGTCTAAAATACAAGTCATACTGTATTTTTCATATGAATAGCAACACTTCTTTTATTCCTATTTTTTGTCTTTATTATCAAGTTTCCTTCTTTTTAAATGAAATTTCTCCTTTTGTCATACCCCAGCATCTTATTTTGACTTTATGTTACAATCTTTGCCTGAACATTTCTTTCCTTCAGACCTAGATTTTCTTATCACCTCAAACCTACTTTGCTTTTGATTCCTTTATTCATCTTTTCTGCACTTCCATATGTACTACCTCCTATAATTATTCCCTGAAGTTGTCTGTCCTTTGGGGACTGCTGGCTACAAAGGAAGAAAGATAACTTGGTCCATTCTTATCAATATGTATTTTTGGATGTCTATACTTGGCTACCAGCATATTGTACTAAGCAGAATAAAGTATCTCAACTTCTTAGGAAGATAATTACAGCTAACAATAGAGCATTTCATATGTGCATGGAACTACGTTAAGGACCTGGGATACTTTATCTCATTTAACCTTCATTAAACCTCTCTTAGGTAGGTACTAACATTTACATTTTGCAGATGAGACAGGCTTAGTTGTAGTCCTACCATAGTTAAACTCGTATAGGAACTAAGGGACAGAGATGGAATTTACAACTAGAAATGACTGATTCTGGAGTGTGACATGTTAATTAGTCTTTACTGTCTGGGTTATCCAACTATTCTCTCCCCCAGCCCAACTATTCTTTATTTGAATTCTTACAAGTCCACCTTAAAGTTTTTAACTTTAAAATATTACTTGGTAATATCTATATTAAATTACTATATAGGTTAACAACTGTTAAGTGGTTTTCATATTTTACTACAATAACGTTAAAATATGACAGGGTACTAACAAATCCTCCTTGTCATTTTGTAACTTTTTTTTTGAGATGGCGCTTCACTTTTGTTGCAGCAACGGCGCAATCTCGGCTCACTGCAACCACTGCCTCCTAGGTTGAAGCTATTCTCCTTCCTCAGCCTCCTGAGTAGTTGGGATTATACTTATGCACCACCATGTCTGGCTAGTGTTGTATTTTTAGTAGAGACAGAGTTTCTCCATGTTGGTCAGGCTGGTCTCAAACTTCCGACCCCAGGTGATCCATCTGCCTTGGCCTCCCAAAGTGCTGGGATTACAGGCGTGAGCCACTGCACCTGGCCATTTTATAACTTATAATTACAGCTACAAATGTTTCATGTATGTTTGACAAAAGTATGGGTACCACAATGTAATGTAATGGCTTCAGTTTAACTGCCTAGATTGTTTACCTAGATTTAAAGTCTGTGATTATTAGCTAAAGTAAAGAGAGAAATATTAAATTATTTTGGCCAAAGTATAAAACATTTTTTAAAATCCTTAAATAAAAAACTGTTATTTCCTATCATGTTCTTAAAAAAAATCATTTTCTTATTAAGAATAAATCTCAGAATAGAAAGGTCATACGAAACATGAGTAATAATGTATTTAGTGTAATAGTTAGAAATTGTTAAAATTTAGTAAAAAAATGTTTAATGCTCTTTTATAGTGTTTCAGAAACATGGAGACTCACAAAGACTCATCCCCCCTCCAAAGGGACACTCAGAATTATCATTTCCAATATAAAATCAATAAATTATTTTTTTCATAATTTCATATTTTCACTTACCGTCTAAAGTAGTAAAATCTACAAAATACCGGTGAGTGAGCTGGTTCTTCTCCTTTTTTACTGCGAATAAGTCTGCATTCTCGGCACTTTTGTAAATTAGGCCCTATCTCACAGCAGGAGTCATCCTGTAAAAAGGATTCCCCAGTTTGCTTCAGCTTCTTGACTTTACGCCAATCTTTTAATACTGAACGAGGAATGCCAGCTGTAAAATCAGTAGGAAAGTTTTAGCAAGATTATGCTTTGTAGAAAGTTAAACTCCTTGAGATGAAATTCAAGTCAGTTACACAACTGTGATAATACAGTAAGACCGCAGTGAAGAAGCAAAGACATTAAGAGCTCTAGGTACCAACTAATGACTAAAAAGTCTGCAGCAGCATTTCTATTGACTTACTATACAATTCTACTAACCAAATGAACCAATCTTATGTCAGTGTACTGAAAATGCAGAACTAAGTTTTCCAGCTGCTTGAACTCTTTAAATATTAAATATTCATATAGTATAATGCAATCATGAGAATTATTGATATACTGTGTATATCAATAAGTGAAAATACAGTACTTCTATACCAAAAGTTGGTTTATGCAGAAGAAAGCTCTTTCAAGATCGACACTAAAAACGTAAAGATCAAAGGTTTATATACTTAGAAACTACAGGCTGGTTTCAACATATTTCTATTGAAATATATAATCTGATTTTCCAGGGTAGTGTGGCTCATTAAGACAAGTGGTAACTGTATAAAACCTGTATTTGGGAGAAGAGGTGCTAAAATATTTCTCCTAACATCTTTCCTTTATTATAATACCCTGTATTTGGTATCAGCATACTGATGGCGGCAGTATCTTTTAGAAAAATAAATGAGTTTGAAGAAAGTAAAGGAAAAATAAATTAACTTGGCTACCTCTATTGATGAAGGAAAAAAAGGCATCAAAAATGTGAAAAGGACAAAACTCTAATGAAACTATCTAGTCTAATATGTGAAAAAAAAAAATTTATTTACATACTCTACATCATTGCTCCACCACACTTACTGACTTATGCTTAATAAGTATAACACTAGCCGAAGTAATCATCATCTAGAGAGTAGGAAGAGTTTCTAGACTGAGAGGATCTTCAAAAATTAAATGTTTATTAAAAATTTTAAAAACATATTCACTTCGACGCAACCTATGTTGGGGTCCAGGTGCAGTGGCTCATGCCTGTAATCCCAAAACTTTAGGAGGCAGAGGCAGGCAGATCACTTGAGGCCAGGAGGTCAGCATCAGTCTGGCCAACATAGTGAAACCGTGTCTCTACTAAAAATACAAAAATTAACCAGGTGTGGTGTCACACAACTGTAATTCCAGCTACTGGGAGGCCGAAGCATGAGAATTGCTTGAACCCAGGGAAGGAAAGTGCAGTAGGGCAAGATCACACCACTGCATTCCAGCCTGGGTGATGGAGAAAGTATTTTTTTCCTGTTTAAAAAAATATGTAAACAAAATAAAAGCAAGCTATGTTGGGATTAGCAGTTATTTGTTGGCTCTAACTTGTAAGTGTACTTACTGCAGCCATATAATGTATCTATATGTCAGACATTAGATTTACATAGTTTGCTATTTCTGTCATGCTGAAAGAATAAACTGTATTTCCTACCCTTGTGTTTTCTAATCATGCCCAATGTGTGGGTCAGAGGTACAGCAATTCTCCTGAGACTACATACTTCTTGCAGAAACTTAGAAAGTACTGTGTTTAAATAAACTACATGGAGTGGCTCATTTGAAATCAGGTCCAATTATTAAGCACCTCTAGAACTGCTGCCTCGTTCTTTACAATTATGTGCTTTCCCCTCTTCTGTCTCTAACTTAGGGCAAGGAACCATTTGGCTTAATCCACTAGAGAAACACCCATGTGTATAACCACATACCACATCTCCCATTTATGGTATAAACCCATTTCGAGAAGACTTAAGGTTTCTTATTTCCTCCATTGTACAAAAGACAGATTCTTCCTACAAACTATGTAAAATATTCAGAGCTTTTTTTTTTTTTTTGAGATGGAGTTTCACTCTTGCTACCCAGGCTGGAGTGCAATGGCGCGATCTCGGCTCACCGCAACCTCCGCCTCCTGGGTTCAGGCAATTCTCCTGCCTCAACCTCCTGAGTAGCTGGGATTACAGGCACACGCCACCATGACCAGCTAATGTTATTTTTGTATTTTTAGTAGAGACGGGGTTTCACCATGTTGACCAGGATGGTCTCGATCTCTTGACCTCGTGATCCACCCGCCTCGGCCTCCCAAAGTGCTGGGATTACAGGCGTGAGCCACCGCGCCCGGCAATATTCAGAGCTTTTACAAGTCAGAATGAATGACAGAATTGTTATAATGCTGATAAATTTTTATTTGGTATACTTTCTTCTAGTCATCTATTTACTTTCAATTTATGACACAGAATAAACTAAATACAGTCAATTTCTATTTTTATTATATGCCTTTAATTCCAGATAATGGAACATTTCAGAGTATGGATCACCATACCACTGTGAACAACTTAGATAATACTAAAGAATCAGACATTTAACAGCAAATCTCAATTATGTGACACAAAATAGGCACTCAGAGCTTTTTTTCCAATAAAAGAATAAATGAGCACAAAGACATTAAGGCCACATTCATATAGAGAGCTTCAGATGTTTTAATTTTTGCTTCTAGACGAGGCCACACATGACTGCAGCTATCTGTATAACAGCTGTAGTATTTGTACAATAAATTTTTATTGTATAAATACAATAATTTTATTATGCAAATACAATAATTGTATTGTACAAATACTATGTAGTATATTTCAAATACTATGTACAAATACTATGTAGTATTTGTACAACAGCTGTAGTATTTGTACAAAAAATAAAACTTAATCCTTCAATTCCATATATATAATTACTGACAATATATAAAATGTAAGTTTGAGATCAAGACACTTAGTCAACAAAAAATACCTAACTCAATGAATAATTCTTCATTTATAATAAGAACCTTAGTTCTCTATTAGCAAATCCACAAATAGCTGCTCTAACAGAAAACTGGGGAGGAAGAAAATAAGAGCCAAAATACATGCCGAACATTAATCTCTGATATGCCACACCCTTGAAAAAATATTTTTTTGGAGATACGGAAATTCCTGTGATCATAAACCACTGGTTTTGTGTATCACAGAGTTTATATATTTAAATATAGTGGCAATTTCAGATTATAAAATTAAATGTAAAAATTAGATAAAATGTAAGATAAAGGTAAATAAAACATAAACATTAGTGGAAGAAAAGCAGCTGACTTTTAATTCAGAAACAGGTAGCAGATAGGAAGACATTGCGAAATAGCAGGTACAACAAAATCTGTATCTCACTTTATAATGTACTAAGAAACACACTATTATACATGTATGTGTGTATAAAATATATAACTATACATGTATAATGGTGTATGTAATCATATTACATAGTTGAGGTGTAGGCCTAACTCATTCTTTTTGATTGACCATGACTGATGACAATTCTATTAAACATTAGAAGGAAAATGGACATATTTAATCCATGAAGTAGATTATTCACTCATATTTAGAAGTTCCCTGACTTACGAAAACTCCCAACTTAAAGAACTTTCCTATGCTCAGGAGGCTGAGGCAGGACTGCCTGAGCCCAACAGGTTGCTGTGTACTATGGCTGCACCTGTGAATAGCCACTGCACTCCAGCCTGGGCAATATAGGGAGATTTTGTCTTTAAAAAATATTTAAGAAAAATAACTTTTCTAGGCAGCCTAGAACAAAAGTCAGTCAACTCTGCCCACAATTAAATATGGCATCTTATGTTGACTTAATATTACTTTGGAATTGGTGAACAAATGAGTCATAAGATAGTCTCTCTAAAGCTACATGCTAATTACCAAGCAGGCAACATTTGACTAAACATTACAACCTGGTGGGGGGTCGGGGGGAGGCACTCATTCTGGCTCTTGTCTTAGAACTCTTACTTATGAATATGTATATTCATCTCAAGATGAAAACAGAATAAGTATTTCACTAAGACTTAATTTTATAAATATAACTTCACAAGAGTTTTCTAGGTGTTAAAATCTGGAAGGTTTTAATAATAGATAGGAATCTGTTATTAAGTTTTACTCAAGTATTTGAACACCCAACACCAAAGGAAATGTCATATAAGAGAGAAGAGAAATAATTAAACTGCTCACACTAAGCCTATTATGAATTCGTTGGGGCAGTGAGGGAATAAGGGGAACACATAAGAAAAAGAAACACTGTATATAATCCAATATTCAAGTAAATGGCAGGTATCCTCCGATGTTAATCCCCCTCTCTGTCTTCTGACTATGCTTGCATTTCAGTCTGTCAGTCTCTGGCTCTAGTTGAGTTTGTCCTTTGTTCTTTCACTTTCTGACTGTCCTTTTCTATGATTCCATCCTCCTGTTTTCCTCTCCTTCACTTTGCCTCTAGTTTCCACACAGGCATGTGGGAAAACCTCATTCAGTTAAAAGGCACAAATGAGAGCCTTCAAGCATCCAAGTGCTTGTGAAAGTACTTCTTGAGTGTCCACATTGTCACAGATATTTCATATATTGTATATGGATGAACACACGGATATAGTGAAACTAAGTGCTTTCTGCATTGTGCAATACACCTAAAAAGAAATAAGCAAACTGAGAAAAACTACTTCTAGAGCAAAATAATATAGAAACACTTTATACTGAATATTACTGTTAAGTATCCCTTATTTTTTCCAGCTGTAGCCACAATGGAATATAATCAGTTTTGAAGCTATTACTTAATATGATAATTCTTTAACATCGAAATAAAAACACAAAACCACAAGCCACCCCTTATATTTAACTTTTACCCACTGTTAAGGACTATTTGAATGAGAAGCATTAAATAGATAGTAGTTCCCATAAGCTTCCAATTTTTGTCACCAGATCATATAAAAGTGAAATACAGGACACATTCATATTACTCTGAAGTACAATTGACCCTCCATAACTGTGGTTTCCAAACCCATGGGTTCAACCTACCACGGATCAAAATAGAGGGAAAAAAAACATCCTACAAAGTTCCAAAAAAACCAAACTTTAATTTGCCATGTGCAGAGTACTATGTTCAATCATGCATGAATGAAATGATATGTAGGCACTGTGTTAGGCATTACAAGTAATCTAGAGATGATTTAAAGTATATGGGAGGATGTGTGCAGGCTACATGCAAATATAGTCATACATTGTTAGGCAATTTCCACATTGTGGGAACTTCATAGAATGTACTTACACAAACCTAGCATACAAACCTGTACACTATGTTACTATACTGTAGATACTTGTAACACAGAGTATTTATGTATCTAAACGTAGAAAAAGTATACTAAAAACATAGTCTTATAATCTTATATGAGACCACTGTCATATATACATTCCATCTTTTTTTTTGGGGGGGGGGGGCAGGGTCTTGCTCTGTTGCCCAGGCTGGAGTGCAGTGGTGCAATCATGGCTCATTGCAGCCTCAACCACCCCAGCTTCCCAAAGTGCTAGGATTACAGGAGTGAGCCACTGTGCCCAGCTGTGCATTTTGTCACTGATCGAGAAGTTATTATGTAGCACATGACTTTACTATGCTATTTTATAAAAGGGATGTGCACATCTGTGAATTTTGGTATCCATGGAAGGGTCCTGGAACCAATCCCTGACAGGTATACCTAGGGAAAATTGTAATTCTCTTCTAGAAATTTGCAATTATGTATATGTGAGTAGAATTTCTTTCCCAACTACATCTTGTTGTAGGTAAATATCTTAGCTGATATTACGAATCCACTTTTGGTGTAAGAGCCATAACTGCATTTTGACAATTCTTAGAAATGGCCAAAATTACAAGTAACTACTAAATTACACATTGGGTTATACAAATTACCCGCAATGACTGTCACATAAAACATATATTTCTACAAGTCTTTTAAAAATGAAGGAATACGTGTTCTCTCATTTCCTCTTAAAGGGTACTCACTTCTGAAATGTACAAATGAGATCAATAAGCTTATACATAAAGCTAAGGCATGCAGTGAGGACAAAGGATGCCTTTATGCTCACTAATCCTTTTTTTTTTTTTTTTTTTTTTTTTNTTGAGACAGTCTCGCTCCATCGCCAGATGCCAGACTGGAGTGCAGTGGCCCAATCTTGGCTCACTGCAACCTCCGCCTCCTGGGTTCAAGCAATTCTCCTGCCTCCACCTCCTGAGTAGCTGAGACTACAGGCGTGTGCCACCACGCCCACCTAATTTTTGTATTTTTAATAGAGACGGGGTTTCACCATGTTGGCCAGGATGGTCTCGATCTCTTGACCTCGTGATCTGCCCGCCTCAGCCTCCCAAAGTGCTGGGATTATAGGCGTGAGCCACCGGGCCTAGCCTAAACTCACTAATCTTTAAAGAAGCACACTAATACAGCTAAAACATTCAGCCCATTTTACCTGAGACAAAAGAAAGTAAATGACTTACTATTACTGTTGCTTTGCAACTTCAATTTACTTTTTTCTTTGGCACTCCTGCTGAGAACTCCATTAGGTTTCAAATCTTCTTCTATTTCACCTTTTCTCTTCTGCAAATCATTTTGCTTCTTTTTGTAAGTTGGCTTAGGTTGCCTTTTAGTCCTTTGCTCTGACTTGCTTTCACTTTCATCTGAGTCTCCACTTTCAGAGCCAGATTCATAAGTTCTTTTGGCTTTTCTCCTATTGACTTTATCATCTTTTATATATTTATCAACTATGATCTTACTATCCACACTATTTTGTATATCACTAGATGTAGAGGCTATTAAGTTGACAGAACATGGCTTAATAATTTCTGATACAGAATTCCCTGAATTTTCCATTTTATTAGTATTTTTATCTTCTTCTGAATGTCTGGTGAGCCAGGCCTTTTTCAGTTTAGTATGGTAGTTTGGTTGACTTGTCTGGGAAGCTTGCCCATTTCCTACAGAGTTTGCTTTGTTAATTGTACTACAGATTACAGTGCTATCCAGAGGAAGGGAGGCTGAAGATGTCTGATTTTTTACAGCATTAGACTCAGTCTCACTAACGTTACTACTTTTATACTGAGCTGCAGCCAATGCTGCCTTGTGCTTTTTCAAATGGATAAAATCAGTTGTGCCTGATAACCCAGAACTGGGTTGAACAACACTTCCTGTCTTACTACTGGCTAATATAACTGGAGCTGTGGTGCTGACCTTGCATTCTTGTGTTTGAGCCACTGGCTGACTGACACTTTTTGAAGATGTACATTCTGATGATGTAGAGGCCAAAATGGTATTTGATAAAGATGAAGTTACTTCTGAACCACCCCAGCTGGAAACACTGGTAGTAGCGGCAACAGATGTGATTACATCCGTTTTGGTATTACACATTGTATTTACAGCAGACATGACTGAACTGGGAACACTGCCCTGTGAGACAGCCTGAAAGTTTTTTTCAGATTTTATGTGAACACTGTCTGAATTCACATTTGGCAAAATGATTCTTCCAGTTTCTCCAGCTTCTGCTGGTTTGAGGCAATCTGTTTTATGTGCCCCAGCTGAAGATCTTTCACTAACTCGATCTTTAGAAGCTAACTGCATTGCTGGCATACTATCAGTTTTTGTACTAGAAGATGGACGCACAATGACAGATGCCATAGCAGCCTGTAACTTTCCGCTGCTTTTCTCCACATGCCATTCGGTTTTCTCTTTGCTGAGGTTATTATTAGGTCTCCACATCTCTGTCAAACTCTGTTCTGAAGAACTCTTAAAATTTGCCTGAGAGTCTTTTGGCTCGGGTATTAGAGTTGGAGGCTTCTGTGATTCTTGAACTTTCCCACCAGCATTTACTGGCATCACTGGAGTTAAAGTTGGAGGGGAAAGGCTACTATAGCTGCCTTCCTTTCTTTCCAGGCTGTGATGGATTGGTGGGTGAAATACTGGTGCTCTATGTAATGCAGGCATACTGCGGAGTGTATTTGTAGAAGAAACTGTCAAATGGGTAGGACTCCTACAATCATTTCTGAAGGCTGTTACTGAGTGAGATGCAATCTGATGCGGAAGCTGCTCTGGTATCTTGCCTACTAAACCTTCACTTTCTGGTTGGTGTTTAATCAAAGGTGGAGGCTTTGAAAGAGATGTTATAAATGAAGTCAGAGTTTGAGGATTAGCTGCTGCCACTGCAAGGGCATTACTCTGTTTATCACTGTAAATATTTGAAACTTCTTTGGATGGGTATGATCTCGGTGGTTCATTGACCACACTATTAGACAATGTAGTGAAATAGTTACTTTGGGGTAAACTCTGAGGCACTGAGTGCTTCATTTTATAAAGATCTGATACTGAGCGTTCTACATCTGTATCTTGTTTGATGACATGGCTTTTAGGACTGGAAGATGATGATGCCACTCTAGAATAATTCTCTCTTTCACCCTCAAGTCCCTTGATTTTAGTTGTAAAGGGAGCAACATCAATACTTTCTTGAAGAATTCGACGGTGTTCCTCTTTGTATTTGTTTAATCTCTCTCCAGTCTCCTGGGGTGGCCTCTGTAACTGATTTAATACTGGATCCACAAAATGCCTGTGTAAGTGACAATCTTTCCCAGTCTGTGACCGATTTAGATCGAGGTCATTTTTTGTTGATGTGGATGCAACAGACCGTAGTGGTTCCATAAAAGCTTTCCTTTCTAATTCTCTGTAAAGAAAATACACAAAGATTTCTGTAACTACTTTTTCTTGAAAAATAAAAAGATAGCTTCTGTGCAGTATCATTCTATTATGAAAGTAAAAGACAACTTTGCATGTACTCTAATATTATATACATTCGAAGAAATATCAAAACAGAACAAAGCCTAATCTTAAGATATGTTAACTTAAAATTAACTGTTTAAAATATGAATTAAGAAAAATTATGAAAAACAAGGTATTCATAATTTTTAAGCATTAGTGAACTTACTCCTTATGATGATCTGCTAAAGTTTTTGTCAATGGTGGACTGGAATGGGCTGTAATTTTAAGAGGCCGATGAGGCTCTGCACTGGAAGGTCTGACAGGAATGTGACTAAGTAATCCAATACCATCTGCTGAGGTCACAGGGGTGGGCTGATGTAGCCAAGGACTGGGAGAATTCTATTGAAAAAACAACAACAACCTAGACTTCAGTTACTAGAAAAAGCTAAACATTGTGTCACAGTAGAACTGGGTATGATTTTGGTGGTTTATTAGTTCATTCAAATAGCAGTTTATTTGGGAAACTTGTAACTTTTTCTAAATACATCTTCTGAGAAATATTCAGATAAATAACATAATTATATAGATTTTTCCATATTCTATAAAGAAGTAATCAGTATTAGAGAATAATTTATTGTCTTCTTACTAAAAACAGATCTTAAAATCAGTGCCTTTAACTTAGTATAAATGCCGTATACAGAACCTAGCTTACATGATTTCCTAAGATTCTAACAGCAAAAGAATATGTTGCTAATAGCCAAAAACAATTACTAAAATACATTTCACCAGAAATAGAAATTATAATCAAATGCATTTGTCATTTTTGTCATAAAAAATAACTAGCTTTTCCAATGTAATAATGCATTGACAATTGGCAGATAATTACATTTAAAAACCCAAAAGCACTCCTCATTTTACTCTTAAGCTATAAACATGGTTGGACCATTAAACTTGGGAGGGGTAGAGGTCTAACAAAGTTAATTTTATACATCAATATGCTGCCTGTCTCACAACTGAATATAAGGTGACAGCAACCTCTACACTGAGACATACAGTTATCTGATTACATGCTTACAGTTTCTATACTGTGACTCACTGACATTCTTCCAGAACATGTTTTATGAGTTTGTTAATAGGATGACAGTCAAATAGCAGGAAAATACAACCTCCTTTGTATTTCCTCTAATTTATTCCCTAACAAGGGAATACATTTTATTTCTCAAACTAATGCAAAAGCAATATATCACACAAAAAATAAACTGCTATGAAATTAAAAACATACACTATAGCCATAAACCCCATACAAGAGAAAAATACATAAATATACACATACAGATCAAGTATGTGTCTCAAACAGCCTCAGTTCTACAAGATCCAGGAATCTTAAACAGCAATCAATTACAGCAGTGACAACAAAGTTTTGCTCCATAAAATACCATTCAAAATTATTTCTTAATAATAGTGTCTTATGCTTGTATTGTTTCTTCATTTTTGGTCACAATAGTAGGGGGTAAGAGATTTTCATTTTTTACTCAAAATGTCATTCAAATTTACTCCTTTATGTTATGATTTTATATAACAAATGGAAATCCGATAAACTTGTTTTTAGGCAAACACATCTATGACCAGTTAATAAAATATTTTATTTACTTATAAACACAGAGGCTAGACAGTCATGGTCTAAGTCCATATACATGTGACACTTACTGAGTAATGCTCCCTTCCAAGCCATTTTTAAGTTACTTAAACCTGTTTTCCAGAGTTTGGATGTTAAGGAAAAAGACACAAATCTGTTAGCCAGCTCTTGGCTCCCCTGTGTTCCTCTAGCTAGCCTATCTTTGTGCAGCTGTAGCTACATTAACGTCATGAGAGTGAAGGGTCAGAATAAAAATGTGAGTGCAATAATAAAAATAGAAACCTTGAATGAAAAATGTGAGCGCATTTGGGCCACCAGGCCTGCCTTCTATTCTGGTAAAGAGGATAATATAGTGATTAGTGATTCTTCACTGAGTTTGACTATGTAACGTACAGGTTCTAGTATGATTCTCATCTACCAAAAGAACAATGGAACCCTCTAAAATGGTAATGGGAAGCTTGTGATCAATGGAAGCACAATTCTGGAACTGAGATCTTGTCAACCTCAAATGTGGTGATGCTGGTGCAGAATAAACTGTGGGGATCACTGGTAAGACCTCAATAAAGGCCAAAGATTATATGAAAGTGGAGCCAAAAGGAGTCTATATTGCAAAGGAGTAAACCACAGGAAACGTCTTTCAAAATTGTTAGACGTGTGTCTTGCATCATCAATCACTTGGTGCCACTTATCATCAAAGTTCATCTATCACATACATGGCTGGGCATGGTGGCTCATGCCTGTAACTCCAGCATTTTGGGAGGCCAAAGCGGGTGGATCACTTGAGGTCAGGAGTTTGAGACAAGCCTGGCCAACATGATCAAACCCTGTCTGTATTAAACACACCAAAAAACCAGCTGGGTGTGGTGATACACACCAGTAGTCCCAGCTACTTGGGAGGCTAAGGCAGGAGAATCACTTGAACCCAGGAGGTGGAGCTTGCAGTGAACTGAGATCATACCACTGTACTCCAGCCTAGGCAACAGAGCAAGACTCCATCTCAAAAAAAAACAATAAAAAAGTTCATCCATCACAACATGGTAATGATAGACTCATGGCCACAGTCTACCCAAAACAAAATGGTTCCTCTGAAAAACTTGGCATGATGAACACCATGCTTTTACGTACTGGCATTGCTAATGTTATATGTAAAAAATATTATCCCTGAGTAAAAGAGAAAGTCATTAGAATTGTCTTCTTAATCACCACCCCCAACTGTGATCTCACTTAACTTCAGAAAGCCTGAGAAGATGCTATTAAAGTGTTAAAAAACACCCAGGTGAGGCAGAGGTTGCAGAGAGCGGAGATCATGCCAATGCACTCCAGCCTGTGCGACAGAACAAGACACTTTCTCAAAAAAAAACAACATCCATGTTCACTCTAGCATTATTCACCATAGCCAAGAAGTGAAAGCAAGTATCCACTGAAAGATGAATGGATAAAGAAAATAGGGCACATACATACAGTGGAATATTATACAGCCTTAAATAAGAAAAAAATCCTGTCACATGTTGCAACATGGATGAGCCTCAAGAATATTGTACTAAGCTACATAAGCCAGTAACAAAAGGATAGATATTCTATGATTCTACTCTGAGAAAGTATCAAAGTCATGAAAACCACAGAAACAGAAGAAAGGGGGTTGCCAAGTGCTGGTGGGGAAGGGGAATTAATGTTTAATGTCTACAGTTTCCGTTTTACCAAATGAAAAAGTTCTAGAGACCTGCTGCCCAACGTGAACATATTTAACACTACGAATTGTACACTTAAAAATGATTAAAATGGTACATTTAATGTAATGTATGTGTGTATGTTTTAACCACAAAAACAAACACAGTGTTAAAAAGGGATTCTGGGAGATACTTGAAGAGCATCCTAGGAAGTACAAAGGATAAGGTTGTCTCCTGGGAGTTCAAAAGTGATATCCATTTTTCCTTTTTTTTTTCTGAGACAGAGTCTCGCCCCATCACCCAGGCTGGAGTGCAATGTGCGATCTTGGCTCGCTGCAACCTCTGCTTCCCAGATTCAAGTATTTCTCCTGCCTCAGCCTCCCAAGTAGCTGGGACTATAGACGCATGCCACCCCGCCTGGCTAAATTTTTGTATCTTTAATAGAGATGGGGTTTCGCCATGATGGCCAGGCTGGTCTCGAGCTCCTGACCTCGTGATCTGCCTGCCTCGGCCTCCCAAAGTGCTGGGATTACAGGCATGAGCCACTGTGCCCGGCCCCACTTTTCCGTTTTTTATATTGGGGCTGGTATTCCTCTCAACAACCATTTTTTAGTATAAAAATGAATTTGTGATAGAAACCACATAGCTCATGTAGTTAGAGCCTTATACCACTACCTTTAGGAATACTGTGTTAGGCAGATAAAATCTCAGCTGTAGCTTTACCCCCAAATACTGAGAATCTGCAACCCTGAGCACTCTTAAGAGAACAAGGGAGTTAAAGAGTCAAACATTGTACTATGCCATTAATATACGAATACAGATCTGGAGAATATAACAATTTGTTTTTAAGAATAATTTGGCTGGGTACAGTGGCTCACGCCTATAATCCCAGCATTTTGGAGGCCAAGGTGGAACATCTGAGGTCGGGAGTTCGGGACCAGCCTGACCAATGTGCAGAAACCCCATCTCTACTTAAAAACAACAACAACAACAAACCAGTATTACTAGCCAGATCATCTGTCAAATTCTATTTGACTACATGGTGCATGCCTGTAATCCCAGCTACTCTGGAGGCTGAGGCAAGGAGAATTGCTTGAACCTGGGAGGCAGAGGTTGCAGTGAGCTGAGATCACGCCATTGCCCTCCAGCCTGGGCAACAAGAGCAAAACTCCAACTCAAAAAAAAAAAAAAGAATAATTTGATAATATATACCAAAAGCCTCACAATTTTATATAAATTTTAGAAATTTCACTTCTGGGAATTTGGCTGAGCAAACAACTATGTAAACATACCCAAAATTTAAATCTATAATAAATAAATATTACAATCCAAAAAGTTTTACTTCTTTAAACTAACTCATTTTCTTTCTTTTTGTTTTGGACAGAGTTTCTCTCTTATTGCCCAAGCTGGAGTGCAATGGCACAAGCTCAGCTCACTGCAACCTCCGCCTCCCAGGTTCAAGCAATTCTCCTGCCTCAGCCTCCCAAGTTGCTGGGATTGCAGGCATGAGCCACCACACCCAGCTAGTTTTTTGTATTTTTAGTAGAAACGGATATTAGCCAAGCTGGTCTCAAAATCTTGACCTCAGGTGCTGTGATTACAGGCGTGAGCCACCACTCCCAGCCTAAACTAACTCTTTATACAAATAAATAGGCTTTTCTGAGGTTTCAGCTGCCCCTCTGAGGTTACGAAGCATATGGAAAAACAACTGTTTGAAAAATTCTAACATATTTTATAATAGGAAATGACCTAAAAAATAGATGGAATATTGATTGAAAAAGCACTTGTACATGCTCATTAATAAATATATATTGATATGTGGCAAACCACAGTATAACTTACCCTCCTTAATGAAGCCTCAGCATTAACTGCATTTTCTGGGTGAACCCACTTAGAAGAAGGCAAACCAAGTCCTGAGTATGCATGTGTTCCATTTGGATACTGCCAAATAATTGGATAAAGTCCAAGCTGATTATATGAAGCAGAAGGATGGGCTTGTCCAAGAAGATGAGGTGACTGGTGCTGTAACAACTGTTGTTGTTGCTGGTGTGCTAGTGCTAAGTGGCTCAAGCTGCTGGCATGAGCACTCTCTAGTCGTGGGTGGCCACCAAGTAAGGAGGCAGTAGGCACTCCAGGTAACACAGTGGGAAGTAAATGAGGATGATGAACAGCATGGTGTGGACCACTAGTCAGAGGGTGAGTGTTAATGGTAGGTAATGGAGTTTGACTAGATGACCCGGCTAGTAAGTGGGGTGCAGGAGTTAAGGCAGGATGATGGGTACCTGGATTTAAACAGGTTCTATGAGATGAGGAGTGAAGAGGAAAAGGATGCTGGCTTAGGAAAGGTGAAATATGATTCGCTCCTGTTTCTGACCCAATAAGTGCAGGATCTCTGTAAACTGTAAAATGCTCATTTTTATCAATGATAAGAGGACTCTTTGTAGTTTCTAACGTACTGCTTCGAGTAGGAATTGGATGAAAACTGCATCTCGATAGCTCATGTTCTATCTTATTTGCCAGTCTTCTTTCACCAGCAACTTGGTTGTTCACATAAGTGGCCTTAGACTTTACAGAATCAGGAGAATGAGTTATTTTGGGTTTAACAACTTCAGGTGAGGGACTGGATTTTATCTTGTGAGTATCTACTGAAGTATTAAGTTTAGATTTTACAGTCTCTGGAGGTGGACTTCGCTTATGCAGCTTATCTTCCATGACAGAAACTGCACTTAAAGGAGAAATATAAGAGACATACTTCTCTTTTTCCATGTTCAAGGGATCATTTCCTGAAGAAGCATTTATAACACTTGATTGGGTTAAATCCACTTTAACTACATCACTGACCCAGCTCTGATCAGAATCTTGTTTAGCTATTTCCAAGAATTTTGCATTTGCAATAGAGTGTTTTGAATCACTAACATTAGGATCCATTTTCTGAAGTGTCTGAAGGCCAAAGGTACTTGAGTTTTCCTGAGCCACCTTTTCTAAATTAGTGTCATTTGTAATATCAATAACACATTTTGGTGTGGGTGGTCTGGATATAAACTTCTCCTTTGGTAGTGATTCCACTGTACGGGTTTTTTCCATATTGCATTCCTGAGGAAGTAAATCATTAGGATTATGATCAGAAGGTGTGGACTGTTCTGATGAATGGATAATCATATCTTCTTGAAGCTGAGTGTCAACAGGCTTCCGCTTCTCTGCTTCTTCATGTTTTTTATCTTCCTGTATTTGATCCCAGGGAGACTGGTTATCTTTTAGGGTCTCTTCTCCTGACTTCTCATTATTATGGGGTTTTCCTTCGTCTCCATTTATTTTTGAAGTATTTTTATTTTTCAATTCATTCTCTGGTTTCTGTTCTGAGGAATTATCTGTTATTCTCTTATTTGAATTTTCTGAGTCACTGCTCTCAGAAAAGTCTGAAACATTGTCAGTTCGAAGTCTTTTCATATTTAGTTTCTTTTCGTCTTCCTCAGGTTTCCTTCTTTTGTTCATCAAGTGTTTGTTTTTACCTTTAGGATTTTCTGTAGGATTAAAAAAAGAACAGTCTTATTTTTCATACTAAATAAGCATACTTTAAAATGTATTTTTGTTTTATTCATTCCCTTAAAAAAAAAAGTGGGTCCTACCTCCTCGTGATATATAATCATATTTTTCCTCCTTCATCTTCTCTTCATCTGGTATACTGCTATCTGAGCCCTTCCTCTTATTTGGACGGATACTTCTTTGTTGCTGTTGCTGGTGTGTATTCTGTTTTGGTACAGCAGCTTGTGAGTTCATTGCTGGTCTGGGACTATTTGCTTGGGCACGTGTGTAATGACTCTAAAAGTAACCAATTAACAGTAATTGTTTACTACCTGGTTTCTACTAGCCTAAGGAAAAATATTTTACAGAAATTCATCCGTAATAACATACATACGTGAACAGCGTTGACGTTTTGATTGGCACGAGATCTGCGCCGTGATGTAATGCCAATATTTTCACCTTTTAACAAAGAGTGAACAACATCATCTAGAAAGGTCATTTGAACCATAGAAGGATCGACATTCTGTGGTTCTAGTACCTAATCCACAATACAAAACAAAAACAAAAATTAAATCGAATGAGCTTATCAAATATTTGGTATAATTTTTTTTTACTCAATAGAAATGTTTAGAAATCAGCTTGGTATCCCTAATTAATAAGATTGTTATAATAATTTACTGTAATCACTTAAGACAAAATTACCTTTTTAACCTTCTGAAACTCACCATTTCAATTACTAACCAAGAATTAAAAAGCAAATATATACCCTGCAAGATGCATCTTGAAAAACAAGGATAAGAATTTATCAAGAATATAGAGCCAACAGACAGTATTACTACAAAACAAAGACATAGATGACAAGATATGAAATGTATTTTAAAAATAGGAAGTAATTTTCAAAAAGCAGTCGTAAAATAAATGTCAGAGGTAGACTTCAGGGAGAAGAAAAAGACAAAAATTATTGTGCAAGTGAATAATTTTTAAAATGTGATTAAAGAAAACTATTTTAACAATTCAAGGCACTTTTGTATGTTTTTGAGAGGTAAAAGTTTGTCACTGCTTTTACTGAAAAAAAAAAAAAAAAAAACAAATGTAATTAAATAATAACTTATTTAGCATTTTAACTACATTTTAATCAAAGCATTTGAATTATTTATAAAGGAACTCTAGAGACATCCTCCACAATCCAATCAGTCAGGAAGGTATAAATATCTATTTTTTTAAAATATAAACAGCAGCTTTAAAAGTGAACATTTTTTGCATTAAGTAAAAAAGAAAAAAATATGAAATATCAAGGCTTTCAGGCTGGTAGTTAAAACTCCATAGGAACGCCAGGCCCAGTGGCTCACGCCTGCATTCCCAGCACCTTGGGAGGCTGAGGCGGGTGAGTCACGAGGTCAGGAGTTTAAGACCAGCCTCGCCAAGATGGTGAAACCCCATCTATACTAAAAATACAAAAATTCGCAGGACGTGTTGGCGGGTGCCTGTAATCCCAGCTACTTGTGAGGCGGGTGCCTGTAATCCCAGCTACTTGGGAGGCAGTGAGCCGAGAAAGTGCCATTGCACTCCAGCCTGGCGACAGAGCAAGACTACATAAAAAAAAATTCCATATGAAACTTGTAATACTTAAGATTAACCATAAAAGTTAATTGAGCATACCAACACTGACATCTGATATGAGAAGAACTATAGTGTGTGTTTAAGTTTTCACTGATGACAATATACCATTTGGGAAGTATTTTTAATACTGTAGGGACAGAAAAATTGAAACCCTGAGAAAGAAAATTACAGCTAATCTAAGGATTTAAAAAGGAGTAATCAATTAAAAGAGTTTGACGCCTCTATTTTAGGAACTGATTTTATCAGTGTTGAAATAAATTTAGCATTGCTGTCTCCCTATGACCTGAAAGGACCTCTGTGTAATATCAGATACATTTAAACTTACTAGAATTACATGACTAAAAACCCTAGAGATCAAACTTATTTAATATCAAACTGTTGATTTTTGGGAGGCATGGACTATCTGAACTTTTTAAATCTCTACAAAAATATTCGTTGAACTACTTACCTGATCATTCATAACGATCATGGTGCGGGTGAAGAGATCATGATGAGTAATTATGCCAGTAAACCACTGGGTGGCAGAGTCTTGTCTATATACTCTCACTCTGTATCCATTTAAGGAATAAGGACCTTTAAAGAAACACAAGAAATAGAAATATCTTAAATGGAGACATTTTCATTTAATAACCGCCTTATAGAAGAAACATGAAGTGTATAATAAGTAATATATCCAACTGTCAGTTTTCAAAAAAAAGTTTTAGAAGTAAATATCCTTTCAAATGAATCATTCTTAAGTTACTGTATATACTGCACTAGACTTACATACTTCCTCATTCAATAGACATAAAATACTTCAAGAGGGAATGAAAGTTTTTAGGAAATGAGTTAATAAGAGAACAGTTCAAAATGCAAAGTTACAGTGGTGTAGAATGTAGTAAGGTTACAAAGCTATTAGTTACGACTGCAGTAGATGATTACATGGTTGAAATAGACAAGTTAACTTGCAACTTGATGTTTGAGTCTTCTACTTGTCAAAACTTTACCATAAACAACTACAAACTACAAATTTTGATTTGTCTATAACAGCTAGGAAAAGCTGCTAAAAGTCTTTAAAAAAGAGATTGGCTATGAAAACAGACTAATATAATAAATAAATACATAAATAAATAAATAAGATATTGGCTAAGTGAATTTATACACATAGCACTAAAAAAAAAATTTTTTTTTTTTTTTTTTTTTTTTTTTTTTTTTTNCCCAGGCTGGAGTGCAATGGCGCGATCTCGGCTCACCACAACCTCCGCCTCCTGGGTTCAGGCAATTCTCCTGCCTCAGCCTCCTGGGTAGCTGGGATTACAGGCACGCGTCACCATGCCCAGCTAATTTTTTGTATTTTTAGTAGAGACGGGGTTTCACCATGTTGACCAGGATGCTCTCGATCTCTTGACCTCGTGATCCACCTGCCTCGGCCTCCCAAAGTGCTGGGATTACAGGCTTGAGCCACCGCGCCCGGCCCAGCACTAAAAATTTTTAAAGAAATATGGTACCCTTTTGTGTTAAACTCATTTTTTTTTTCTTTTTTTGAGATGGAGTTTCGCTCTTATTGCCCAGGCTGGAGTGCAATGGTGTGATCTTAGCTCACCACAACCTCCACCTCCCAGGTTCAAATGATTTTCCTGCCTCAGCCTCCTGAGTAGCTGGGATTACAGGCATGTGCCACCATGACCAGCTAATTCTTTTTTTGTTATTTTTAGTAGAGACAAGGTTTCACCATGTTGGCCAGGATGGTCGTGAACTCCTGACCTTGTGATCCACCCGCCTCAGTCTCCCAAAGTGCTGGGATTACAGGCATGAGCCACCACGTCTGGCGAAACTCACTTTTTCAAAGAATATTCTTGTATAGATATCCATTATAAAATAAGGTAAAAAGTATTAAAGATATTTATCTGCAGATATTCCTATATGCCTAAAACAAGTCACCTGGCTGGACGCAGGGGCTCACACCTATAATCCCAGCACTTTGGGAGGCGAGGCGGGCGGATCAGGAGGTTAGGAGATTGAGACCATCCTGGCCAACATGGCGAAACCCCATCTCTACTAAAATACAAAAAACTAGCTGGGCATGGTGGTGCGTGCCCGTAGTCCCAGCTACTCGGGAGGCTGAGGCAGGGGAATTGCTAGCACAGGAGAGGTGGAGACTGCAGTGAGCCGAGATCACACCACTGCACTCTCACCTAGCAACAGGCCAAAACTCTGTCTCAAAAAAAAAAAAAAAAAAAAAAAAAAAAAAAAAAAAAAAAAAAAAAAAAAAAAAAAAAAAAAAAAAAAAAGGCACTCTACAGAAGAGGATAATGTGATAAAAAATAATCTTTAATTCACAGGTATTAAAATGGTATCAAATACTTTAAAGTTTAAAAAAGAACTGTAAGGTAAAAACTACTGTACCTTAATAATTTACAAAGAAAGTGCTTTCAAAATTTTCAAGTGCTTATTTATCTCTCTTAAGTATTGTTAGCCTTTTTACAAAAATCGAGAAAGTAAGAAGTTGACTTAAAATTAGGCAAAATTTTAAGTCAAAGATCTGGGACTGAATTAATTTTTCTGATGTTCTTTCTTCTAGAGTTATAACAGATTCAACAATTAATACTTTGCCAGTTTTAAATATATATGCATATATAAATCAATAAGCTGTAGAAAGTATTTCATATGACGTGTAAATTAAATATATTCATCTAGAGAAAAGTGAAGATGTTGACTGGCTATAATTTAAGGGAGGTTGGGGAGTAAACACTATTTTGTAGCCATATCAATTATGTAAACATCTGTCTTTTTTAACTGTGGAAGAATAAGACTCCATATTATTTTTTCTAAATAATATAGAACACACTTATAGAGTAACTCCAAATATGATCAGTTTTCAATTCTCATTAACAAACAGTTTACACTGGTTTATTCTCACTACTTAACACAGTGTAGAGTCAGCCATACACAATTCTGCATAGGATGAATAGGGGCTATACTGCCCCTTAATCTTTTCTCCTCTAAGGATATAATGCAGAAACAAAATATTATTTTAAAAAAACTCACCTGGTTTCTTCAACAAATAAATTGCAAGGAAAGGGAACAAAAAGAGCAACAATGGGATGTACCAAATAATCACAATGTTTGGACCTTTTCTGAATCCCTTAATTTTTAAAAATAAATAAAACCTGTTAAAATCTTTGACATTTATGAGACAAACGAAAACCTGAACTACCAAGTATTTTTAATTTAAAAACTATTTTTTTTTTCAGAATAATGTTCCAGCATTGTTTTGTTTTAAAAAATGGATAGAATAGGGTGATGTCTGAAATTTGACAGAAGTGGGTAATGGATGGCGCAGGGTCAGCCACAATTAGATGGTTGTTGGGGCTGGGAGACAGGTGAATGCAAATTCACTGAAACATTCTATTTTTGTGTGTTTGAAATTCTCCACAGAAAAGTTTAAAGAATATTTAGCCTAGGAAGAATTAAATATGTAGATGATCCACTACCGTACATACCGATATAAAGCAAACAGTTTTGAGATTATCTGTTGATGCTTAATGGCATGGAAGTTGAGGGTTGAGATAAATATGGGAATTTAACAAAAAAATTCCATTCACAAAAACATTTGACAACATATCAACAGTTGATGCCATATTGTCTCACTTTCCATTCAATTTCACAAAAGGCTTGTATTTACAATACATGATTTTACTGTCAGAAATGGAAATTGCTAAAAATTATCAAACCCCTGGTTTGAAGGTCACATGTTGTAACATACTAAACATAGAAAACAGGAAGTAAGACTAGTAAATTTCTGAAAAAGGTACACTGAAATAGGCCACTTTTATCAGACATTAAGAACATTCTTCAAAGGAAATCAATTGCAGCCACCCTCTACTGCAAACAATGCTTCCTTCTCCAGGAAAGACACACCTAAAGAATTCCATAGCATGCAGTTTTCTGTCAACAAAACACCCATGTGGCTATAATTTCATGACAGGCATTTAGCTCAAATAAGTTATAAACTCGTGAAATTATCGACTTTCTATCAAAATTATTATGACTCTTATTATTTTCCTGGATGTATATAACTCAAAATATTGGACTGAGCCTTCTATTTATATTGCATACAATTGAACAACCAAAGACAAATATGGTAAGTTGCCTAGATCCAAAAAAATTTAATGCATAACTTCAAAATAATTACCTTGCATAAAAATCTCCTGAACCTTTTGTTCCTTTACCCAGACTTTCACTTCCTCGTGAAGTTGCGGGTTGTCCCTGAGAACTGGGTTTAGGCTGTCTATGTCGTCCTAGAATTATAGATTAAAAGAAAGGTCCATGTTACGCTCTCCTACTATTAATGTTACCAACTTTCCCTCCTGTATGTTCTAAGGACTGAAGAAAATTCCTCTGATCTAAACGTATGCAAAAACACAAATTCCTAAATTATAGTTCACTGGCAACTGTGTAACAAAAGAGGGTAAGAAATTAATGTGTGATAAGATTTGACCCCTGACAACAATGTCCTAAAGTCAAAGTCTGAAATTAATGTGTTTTTTAGCTTTTTAAAGTATAGCCTTCTTCAAGTCATCTTTTTAAGGAATCACTATTAGAAGCAATATACAAATCAAATAACATCAGGTCATTTAAGGGTGATGACGAACTGCAGTGAACATTTTAATGACAATGATACATGCACAGATGACTTACTGGCCTTCCTGTAATACCTAACCAATAGAGTTTGAAACTACTTTTATTCTGTCCCGATGTAAATGTCATCAAATTCAGTTCTACTCATAGTCATCTGACCAGTAACTTCACTGTTAAAAATTTTATTTCTTGAAACTAGTGCCAAACCATCCAGACAATTAAAATTACATTATTAATGGTATTACCCTTATTATCACGGTGGATCTAGACATAGAAACAACTGATTCTCTCTCACTGGAGATGTGAATCACACAGTTACAGGATTTCCCGCAATTTGCTGGTCTCCCACTGGATTCTGACATTCTGTTCTCTCAGTCTCTCCCTCTCTCTCTCTCTCAAAGTACCTCTGCTGCTCCTGCAGTTGAGATTAGCTGCAGGAACACTACAGTAGCTGGAAAGAACAAAGTAGCACTGTCAAATGGCAGCTATTTTAAAAGTGGACAGGCAGATCATGGAAACCAGTAAATAGAAAGGAACTAAATGAAGGGAACTGTATCTGACAAATAATAACATTTTGGCAAGTTTGAAGAGTAAAAAGGTGGCTGAAGTATAAAAAATAAAAATTAAAAAACCCTAATCAAATAGATCACACTTGACTCTTCTCCAATGTCTATAGGGTAAAGTGTTTTCTTTTCATACTGCTTTTAAGGCACTACTCTGAATTTTTAGAATAGAAATTTTTAGAATAATATTGTGGTAAATATTCTATCTGATATGCATTTAAACACAGAGAAAACCAACAGGCCAAAGTAAGTGCCTTTAAATCTATTACCTATGTTCCTTGGAAAATATATAAATAAAAGTATTGCTTTATAGCAGAAGAAAATACTCAATGAAAAAATGTCATACAAAGAAGTAGGCAAAATCTGTCATTTGGGAGAAAAAAATGGGCATTAACATGTCTGCCTTTACTTCGAAAAAAACTTTTTGGCAATCTCCTTTCTCTGCCCCCTCCAACCCCCAGTAATATATTGCACACTTAATCTCATGTTTTTAAGAATTTTTACAAAATCATAGTAAGTCCTATCAGACTCTAACCCTCTTACCGCACACCAGTTGACAGTCTAGTCTATAACAAACAGAACATAGGAAACTTTTTTTTTTTTTTTTTAAACGGAGTTTTGGTCTTGTTGCCCAGGCTGGAATGCAATGGCGTAATCTCAGCTCACTGCAACCTCCCTCTCTCAGGTTCAACCAATTCTCCAGTCTCAGCCTCCCGAGTAGCTGGGATTATAGGCGCATGCCACCACGACCAGCTAATTTTTGTATTTTTATTGGTCAGGCTGGTCTCAAACTCCTGACCTCAGGTGATCTGCCTGCCTTGGCCTCCCAAAGTGCTAGGATTACAGACATGAGTCACCATGCCTGGCCCATAGAAAACTGTTTTATAAGGAACACCATTACTTTTTTCAGACATCTCTGACAGCAAGTTCCTTTAAAATTTTTCCCACTTTAAAATTTCCATCCATATCCACCCATACACTTTTCCCATAATATAGGGAGTTATAAATTTTTTTTTTTGGAGACGCAGTCACTCTCACCCAGCCTGGAGTGTACTGGCATGATCTTGGCTCCCTGCAACCTTCGCCTCCTAGGTTCAAGCGATTCTCTTGCCTCAGCCTCCCGAGTAGCTGGAATTACAGGTGCACGCCACCACACCCAGCTAATTTTTGTATTTTTAGTAGAGACAGAGTTTCACCATGTTGACCAGGCTGGTCTCAAACTCCTCAACTCAAGCAATCTGCCCACTTTGGCCTTCCCAAAGTGTTGAGATTACAGGCATGAGCCAGTGCACCCAGCTATAAACTGTTTTAAAGAAGCACTGCCAACACCTTGCAAACAAGTTCAGTTTATAAAACCAGTTGCCTAAGTTGAAATTTTACAACTTGCCGGGCGCGGTGGCTCAAGCCTGTAATCCCAGCACTTTGGGAGGCCGAGGCGGGTGGATCACAAGGTCAAGAGGTCGAGACCATCCTGGTCAACATGGT